GTTCTATGCAATAGTGTAGATTCATCTGGAGCATGACTTCATTACTTTTATGCTTGATGGTCATCCAAAGCGAATGTCCTATAACCGCTTGCAACAACTCCTTGGGGTTGCCACTTTAGATAGGAAGCTCCACCAGATTGTCTACGGAGATGCTCTTCCTTCGCGTCGTAGCAGGGCTAGAGGTACTTTTCCTACAGACCAGGAGATTCGGCCGCTCTTCATGGAGCCCTTCATTGATGGCTCCTTGCGTACATCGGATAGACTATGTCTAGAGGCTTATGTTCTACACTTGGCTCTGAGGAAGATAGTCCTGCCTCGTGGTAGCAACAGGGAGTCAATGACCAGCTTGCAACAGTGGCTACTACTATCAATATGGAGACATGAGTAGTTTGACTTTTTACACTTTTTCCTATCTGAGATCGAGGATGTGATAGCGGACGCTATCAGTACTGGACAGCAGCACGTGTACCCTCACATCATCAGGTATCTGCTACGCATGATTGACTCTAAAAAGTATGGGTCGCTGTACAACGAGTCGACCTATGAGGTTATGACCTATTTGCAAGCAAGTCCGGATGATCGTCGTTGTGGATAGCGTGCCCTTAGGTCCATTCAAGAGCTGTTACCCATACAGGACAGAGAAAGACATGAAATGGTGGATGCAACCCTAGATCAGGCAGAGCACCGGTCTAGGATTGGATGAATCTTGAATATATGAATGCAAGATTCAGACTCCGATGACAGTGACTACCGTGACCCTATGTCAGACGACCATGACGAGGGAGGGTCGTCCTCCGGTGGTGTCGGGGTCATAAACCCAGGGTGTCTCAAGGCGCCGATTAGATTAGTAGGCCACGAGACCTGTGATGCGCTAGCTAGCAAAGGCCCGAACGACCGAGGCCCAGTCAAGCTGAGCAAGTTAGGCCAGACACAAGGGCTAGGGTCAGCCATGGCCTCTTCTCCTAGTCCTCGACATGGGACGCTCAGCACATGACCTCTCCCCATTACGACCGTCGGAACAGATAGGGAGAGGTCGCATCTGGCCAAAGCGCTCTAGCTCTGAAAAAAGCTAGCATGCCGTAGTGACCCCGTAAGGACCAATGTGGCAGCAATCACCTCGGCCTGGACAGACACCATCCCAACGCCATACCACACCAACAAGACAACACCGCACAACGATGGCAATGGATACGAAACCCACCATC